CAAAAACATTAATCTATCGTGCATCAAAATGGGTACATCACAGTAATATCGGAGTAGCTTTATCATATTCTGAGCTGAGTTTAGGTTCAACTTCGCGTATTTTAAAATATAAATGATATTTAGAAATTATTATTATTTTTCTTTGTTTAATAAATCGTATGAAGATATTTGCTATATATACGTTTAACTGACTTCAAATAAAGGTTCTCTACGATTGTTGGAATTGTAAAATAATTGAGTTGTCCCACAAATTCCTTAACAACAAAATCACATCAAAGCAATTTTTATTTAAATGAGGTGTTTTTCTTAGGGAACAATCCTAATGACCAATTTCGTTATAATCAGTACTTAAAACATATAACTGGGACGTATCGTTCTTGAAAGTAAGGATAGAGAAATATAAAAAAGCCGCAAGATATGTTTCCCTTGCGCCATTACGCATTACGTTTTGTATAACAAGAGGGGTTGGGCTATTTTTATAAAATCAAACTTCTGAATTGGATGTTAGAGGACACAAATTTGTATGATTGTAAGATTTACTTAAATGATGGTAATTAAATTAATATAGGTAAAATCCATGCTAAACGGCGTGTTAGTGGAAAAAATTATGGCTTTGCAACGTTAGCGAGTGGACGGGTTTTGCGACTGTGGAAGAGTTGCATCTGGTACAGGACAAGACACGCTTCATGAGACTGATGGCCAGCCAACAACAATAGTAATGGAGAGTCAGTAAAAGAAGATAAGATTACTTGATCGCTCTCAGATTACATTAGGGCATTAGCAATTCGTATACACGACTTCCGGATTGCACCCAGCACGGTTTTCCTCTACAATTATCTGTCTTTATTCTAAAAGCTTTAACTCCTGAATTAAGTCGTAATTTTAATCAAAAAATATAATAAAACTTTACATTACTTTGCTTTGATTTGCTTTGCTTAACGTTACGTTACTTCACCTTACTTTTTTTTATTTAATAGGAGCCAAAAGGGACAGGAGGCTCATCTGATGTTAAGTGATACCGCCGCCCATGGACACTCACGATGCCTAAAGGCTCGCAAGTGCGTTGCTGGCCTTTCAAGAATTAGTACGCTCTTCTCTTAAAGGACCCTAAGCCCAATTGGTATGGAAATACTTCAGTGAGCAGCTGGTTCCTCTTAGCGGAGGTGCGCGGTAAAAACTGCCTTACAAAACGCTCAATTGTGGAACGACGGACGTCGAGGTGATACCGATGGTATTTTGTATTCTGCATTGACGTCCGATAATGAAACTCAGTTGCAGGTATTAGACCGAAAAACCCACATCTCTACGCAACGCCAAGAGATCAAGCCCCACGGAAAGTGAGTGGTCGTCAAAAGTACTTTACTTTATTGTAAATACATATTTTAATCAAACTTTTAATAATACTCTACGGTTATTGAAGTCTATTTTTATTAGCTCCGTCCAACATCGGAACAAATACAGTTTTATTGGCGTTCTGTTACAGACTATTTCATAAAATACTTTGATTTGGTTCGTACAAATACGAATTGCTTCAATTTTAACCATTGGTAATCGTCTTATTTATTTATTAAAGTTCACCACATACATAATGTATCTACAATATGTTACAAGCTATCTTTTCTAAAATATATGACATGTTATGGTAAACATAAAAAAATAAAAATATACACGTCTTGGCAATCTTTGTATAAGAGAAAAATTTTGTTCATATTAATATTTGCAAAGTTATCTTTAAGACAGAATTCACTCACACTTATTATAAGTGAAAAGTTGTAAAAGGTTTTCTGTTTATGCTTAAAGTGCAAAACATGAAACGAGTGGCCACTCCTAAAGTAGGTTAAATATTACACCAACTTAGAAATAATGAATGAGTGAGCACACTTACTATAAGGCCCTTGTCCACCTATACGTAAAATATAAACGCTAATAATTATATAAAATGTATTGCCTCTGAATCTTCGCCGAATACTGGTACAAAAACAAAAGACGACTGCATGCATATCTTTATAACACATTGAACTTGTGCCTCAACAGCAGTGTTGGCCTAGGGGCTTCAGCGACTCTCATCCTTGAGGTCGTAGGTTCGGTCTCCGGCTTTGCACCAATGGACTTTCTATTTGCGTATTAAATGTTCGCTCCAATGGTGAAAAGACATCGTGAGGAAACCGGCTTGCCTTAGACCTAATAAGTCGACGGTGTGTGTCAAGCACAGGAGGGTTTTGATTTAGAGGAAATTAGATTGACAAATGATCATGAAACAGATACAGAAATCTGAGTCCCAGACCTAAAAAGGTGGTAGCGCCACTTGTTTTTTTTGTGCGCATTTAATAACTAACAGTTCCAACATTTATTAAAATAGAGTTTATAGATTATTTTTTATTCATATAAGTTTTACATTATTCCTCCTGATTGTTAAAACATGTAAATGCATAATTCCTGTTAACTAAGCTATTAAATAAACATTTGAAATGTATCCCATCGGAACTAAAAATCATCTTTCACTGGATTAAACAAATTTCTAAAACGTATGTGAATTGACTATAATCAACAATTTTTTTTATGTAAAGGTGCACATCTGACAGAAGCACAGTTTGAAAGTCTGGCGAAAGTAAAAAGCGACCTCGGGGGAATATACACTGTAAAAATATATGTAGGAATAAAGAAAATAATAATAGCAATTAATTACACAGCAAGGTTTCTAAAAATAATAATATCGTATCTTAATGTAGAATTAACCCTTACAATAATTATACGGAAAATTAAATCTCAAAGTTTATAAATGAAATAACAAAAGTGAAATAGCAAATAATGAGACGGCACTCGAATGAACACTGATTTTGGGAAAATTCAAGAAAATCTAATTATTTCACTTCGTTGCAGTTAAATGCAAATAATTTGGGACGGCTATGAAATTTGATTTTGTCAAACACTCGCTGTATTTGTGAATTAAATAACTGTTTATTTAACTAGTTTTGAATTTTCTTCAGACTTCGGCTGTTTTTTGTCCTATATATAGGGAGCATAAATAGTACTCGCCATTGCGTTATATCCTAAACCACGGACTTAATTTCTCGTGCTGTGGCTACTATAGAGCCTCGCCAGAATTATTTAGGATTGCTCTCTCTTTCTTTAATCGGCAGCTCATATCTGAGCGGCGTGGTCAGTAAGGAAGCATCTGGAGCGGACTGTTTCCACCAGTTTTGTCCAGCAACGTGTACAGTTTTGAGGACGATGAGTCTTTTACTTGATGGTGAACGGCCACTTATCATATGCCGTGTTACCAACCACGATCAGTTTCAGTTCAAGACCATTTTTCAATCTAATAGGCAAGTAGGTGATTAGCCTCCTGTGCTTGACACACGCCGTCGACAACTTAGGTCTAAGGCAAGCCGGTTTCCTTTACCGTTCGAACGAATATTAAATGCGCATATAGACAGATATCATATAAATAAATGGAAAAAAGTACGAATGGCTTCCTCCTAACAAAAACAAACAAATAAAAAGATGGGAAATGATTCGAAAGAGCTCCTATTGGCTACTAAATAGAAACATAGAAGAGTGGAAGCTCCTAGAGGAGGCCTATGTCCAAGGACAAGCTGTATAGCAGAAATCAACCGGCTTGCCGATTAATTATTAGTATTTTTTATTTTTAGTGTAATCTTTTTAGTATTTCACATTTTTATGTACTAGTAAGTAATTACAGCAATAAGGCTGAATTTAGTCTCACGCTCACCGTCAGCGCTCATGGATCAGCGCGTAGTTCGTCAGCGCTGACGCTCAGCGTGGTTCGTTTTAGTATCGTACTGACCGCCTTACTGTACAGACGAAGACCAAAATGCGGAGTGTATTAGTTATTGCTGATTTGTACTACCTATCTCAAAAAAATAAAAACCGGCGACTACGAAGACTCCATGTTCATCCATTGATTGAGCAGAGAGCCGTTGCAGGAGACTCTCCTAAAATATTTTCAAACAATGTGTCGACAATCTCCTCCCAGGCTTTGTTTCTTGCATCTTTATTTTTGTAGAGTGGATCGGATGCATCCCACAATTTCTTCCTCAGGCGTACCTCGTCGATAACTCGACCTGTATCCACTTCGCGATTTGCCATGACTGTACACCCTGACGACGTCCGCTCCGCTCGACACTACAACGCTCACTGAAAGCAGAGGCGCTCTAGCGATCGTCAGCGCTGACAGCTACGCGGCGCCGACGCGCGACGCGTACGGCCGCGCAGACATCGGCGCTGACCACCGTGCGCGCTTATAGCTACGCGTCATTCAAAAACGCTTCTAGAAGTTCATATATCTCGACCATCAGCGCCGACGGTGCGCGTGCGGTCGGCGTGACACTAAATTTAGCCTAAAGGCTTTTATTATTCATTATTATTATTATTATTATAGACAGATAGTCCATTGGGGCACAGCCGGAGTTCGTACCTATGACCTCAGGGAAAAGAGTCGCGTGCTGAAGCCACTACACATTGTTTCATTACCACTTTGTTTTTCCCTCGTAAATTGTTATCTTCAAGGCGGATTTTTGTGCCTAATTATAAAACCTTTTTAAATTTTTCTACTATTACGTTACATAGATTAACCTGTTTCAGGATTTTAGGTCATTGACAGTGGCTTGGCATTTGTAAGGATTGATACATCCATGGTCTCATTTAGATCGTTGATTGAAGGTAAAACCGTAAATCAGTTGTTCTTGGTCAAATGTAAGAAATTTTAACTGATTACAAAAAAAACAAAGTTAAAAGTTCGGATGTTATATTTGAGTATCTCTCTAGACATACAAGCACGTGAGAAAATTGCGTAAACTGACTAAATCATCCCTTTTTCATTTAGATGCCAACTACAGTCAAGTACAGGAACAGTCAAAGTTTCAATTTTTGAGGTTTTAAGCCACGCAAGTTTTAGGAATGGTTAAATAAAAAATATATATTTGACATTTATTAACGTTACGCATAACTTAAAATTATTTTTATTAACTACGCCATTATTATTTCTTCTTTGCATCTAGTTTCTTCTTATTCGCTGAAAGAGTTCGGTTAAGAGCTTCTTGGGCGATCGCGTCATCTCTTTCTTCCAATACTTCTGCTAAATCTGGGCTCCATTGCGAATCTGAAGATGTTTAAACTTTATTTAAATTTGAAACGAAAAAACAAATATGATAAAAGTATCTGTTTGCGATTCTCAGGAAATGTTCTGACCTATTCAATTGACCGCTGATTATTACTGTTACTTTGGTTAATAATTGATTCCTTCTATTAATTTAAAGAATAATAATTAATTTGATTGGATTTGTTCTGTTATTATTTAATTGTTTCATTAAAGAATCATTACTTAACGAATATTGATAAGACCAATCAAAGTCGAGGGAATGTCTCAAGTGGGTTCAAAGGCGCCATCTAGACTTTGGACTAAGCGTTCAGAGAACGCAGGGTAGATCTGATTGTGTATTCATTGGAGCATTGTGGTGATGAGACGTTGGACCGAGTTGGGTCTGTGAATTGTGGTTAAGTATATTGTGATTAAAAGTGAGATCGGTTCCTTGAACCCGCAGCTCGTTATAATTTAATCTAAAATGTTATTTGTAAAGTTAAATGGATCCAAATTAAATACTGTACGATAATTATTCGTGACATTTGAACTCGCACTTTACCCACATGACGCCCACTAAACCCACATATTATGACGATTGACGATGTCCATATCGATGCAGTGACGATAACACTCCGACATATATATTAAAAATGATAAATATATATTTAACTAAAGCTTTAGGTAAAGACTTTTGAGAAGATATTGATGTCTTCTATAAAACTGTAGTACATTGCTCTATTGTCAATAGTTTCCGCAGCATATACGACACATATTTTATAGGCATTTTTTTACACCTTGGATGACATTATTGTAGTTTTAGTAAAAATCCTTATTGTTTTCTTGCAATTAAAACAGTCAATATTAATCAGTGATAATGTAGCATTCAAATAGTGAAGATTTTTTTAATATCGGTCCAGTACTTTATGAGCCAATTCGTTACAAACATACTTACATACAAATCTTTCCTCTTTATAATATTAGTAAAGATTTGAGTAAACTTCTTTTAAAAAAAATTAAGGCAAAAATATGTTATCAACCTTCAGTGACCTTTCATTATAAATTAATGGGCAATATTGATGTATGAATTTAGACGTACATACCAACGAATAATCTTTCTAACAGCCGTCCTCTCTTCTTCTGCCGACCCAGAACATGAACTTTATTATAGTACTGCAGCTCATTCATTCGATCCAACGCTGCTTCTAATTTCTGCTGACGAATCTTCTGCGTCATATCAGCTATTTCAGGTGTTAGTAATGTTCTGTTGACAAATTGAAATATAATGTCCCAGTCCCAATATGGCCAAATATTTCGACTGTTAGACATGCCTACGTTTTAGTGTACCTAAAGCAAATAAATCTGGATTACCGCAATGAATAAATAAAATGGTATCCACATATATGTTTCATACATAAATCATTTACATAATTTTTTAAACGCTGCACATCTTCGTGACGCTAATATTATTATTATTGCGTTACATCCGCAAAAATATTACCATCGTGCGCCTAAAGAAGTTTCACTTGAAAAATAAAAATAATGACTAAAACTAAATGAAACCTTAAACCTCATTAAGAGTACGATAAACAAAGTTTGGGTAAGTTGGAAGTTAGGCCCGCAAGTGCGCTGCCGGCAATATATATATACATACATATATGTATATAGAGAAAAGTATTTTGTTATATGAGGAATAACAATAATTTATACGAAATACAGGAAGTAGAGTAAATATGAAGTCAGACAAAGGTACAAGTTTAGTTTTCTTTTTGGAGCAACGGGAGCTCGTCAGATGTTAAAACGGATTAAAACAGCTAACAATGCCAGTTGGGTCACCTACACTCCTTTCTTCTTAATTATATTAAAAATAAGGTTTCTATTGGGTATTACAATACAAAATTTACCATGTGTTAACAGTTTTAATACTAAAAATTAAACATTTACTCACTTCTCTTCCTCGATCTCTACTTTGGTACAAAACGGTACAAAGTACAGCGGTATAAATTTATCTTTAAGCTGATCAGGCATTGTTAAATACAGCGACTCTTCTTCAATTTCCTCCTCCACTTCTAACTCTGCTACAAACGAAAGATTATATTTTTTAAATGAGACTGTTATCGATTTTTTGTTGCTTTTCTTTGTTTGTTGTAAGGTCTTTTGTATTGAACTTTTCTCTTTAGCTCTTTTCTAAGGAATTTAAATTGTGTGTCGTGAATTGAAAATCGTGAATTGCTTCAGGAACCAAGGTTAAACCTTTGGTAGTTTTTTCGTGTTTTATTTTTATTAATTACATTTCGTTACAGTTATATAAAACATATTCATAATACATAAAAATTATAAGGGATGCATCGGGCGGCCTTATCGCTAGCAAGCGATCTCTTACAGGCAACCCTAGTAAGGAAGATAAACTACACAAAGAAATATAATGGGAAAATATATACCAAGAATAAGATAGTGTAATCAAGAATTGCATAACCAAATCTTATAAAATAAAAAAGAATCATCAACCTTAATCTGAAATAATACAAAAAAAAAAAACTAAAAAGCTAGTTTTCTGTACTTTTAGTTTTATTATAATATGTATATTAAGCTATAATAAAAAAACAAAATAGTCGTAATAACGTATAGTTTTAAGTGAGTTTTGAGTTAACATTACTGTACATAAAATAAAATAATTTTAAAGCCTAGTTTGAATGATACAAGAATAAAAGTCTGAAAAACTGTTGTTAACAATTTAAATCATTGGTTTTTAATTGACTCGAAAAATGAGTCATAACTGTCAGTCGGCAATACTTTTTATATAAAACGAAGACTGAAATATTTCTTTGGTTGTGAGTAAAAACAATAAATAGTTATTTTACCGGCACTGTCCGTCACTGGTGTTGGACCTTGTTGTTGCGTTGCCTCCGTCTCCCCTAATAATTTTAAGAAATAAAATATTAATAAATTGCATTCCTTTTTAAGCAACCATTACGTGGCTTAAAAAAATATATATTTCTAAGATACTTAATCTTCAAGATTTGTTTTTAGTAAGTTTTATAAACATTTTTATAATTTTTTAAAATATATAATGACATGGCTTTGAGCTCCTATTTTCCATTGGCAACATTATTAATAAGTTATTATTACTAATTCGTATATAACTTACTTTTTTGTTCGCCTTCTACTTCTTCAAGGTACTGTTCCTATAAAGGAAATAAATAAATAACAAATATAACATTCAATTCATAATTTTATTATTATTTTCAATGGAATGTTATAATAAAATTAATTAATAATTGATACATCGGACCTTTTTAAAACACATTTGGTCAAAAAAAATCGTCCCTGTGTCCTTTAAAGTAGGCAGCATTTCCTCACTGTATTGCAATACTTATTCGTTGAGCAAGGAAAGCACTAAATTTAAACTAATTAATATTACTATGTAAGTATATCGTAAATATTGTATATATATATATATATATATATAATTATAATAAATTAAATATGAATTCGTTCACATTCAAAGGTCTGAGTATACGTTAAAAAATTAGTATAGTGCACACTTTAAAAAAAATATTTTACAGGCACATAGATCCTTTTGTCACTAACACACTGCGCGTCTAATGCCCCGTGCATTTCTCATTCCTCAGTTTCTTTTCCTTTGGGCAAGTGTATTAACACTCATTGAGGTGTTTTTAAGCACTAAGCTAACATATGTTTTATTCAAAATATTCAATTTTTTGAAATAATTTAGTATAAAGTTATTACCTCTTTCATGGACATAGTACTTTCCGATGGAGGAGGTGGCAAGGCTTCCAAGAATTCTGCTCGGAATTCCTTCCTGAAGACAAAAATACTTCTTCTTTATTTGTTAATAAAAAAATACATTTTAAGTATTAACGTTTAATAATCCAAATGTGTCTTTCATAAACCAGATCGAAAATTACGCATAGCCGAGTTAATTTTTTATTTTTAAACACTAATATTGATAATTCGACACATTCTCATGGCAAAGAAAAAAATAATACTGTCGGGCATTCAAAACTAATCAATTTTCCCTTGTTTTTTGAATAGAAGTCATTTGTTTGCGTCGGTTCGGAACGTGTTCTTAAAAAATGGTTTCGAATTGATGGAAAATCCTCCATTTACCAGACTACAAACTCGTCTGTATAAGCCTGATGACTACGTCAATTTTGCTTACCTAAATCGTCGGAGTTACGCGCCGAAAGTATAGCCAGACGTAGGCACTCTCTTCTACTGATACATTGCAGTCATTCGTTTTATAGCAATCAAATTTAATTATTTCGCTTATATTCTATTGTGGTACACAAGTGGTAAATATATATATATATATATATATATAATAAAATCATATAAATAAAAATAAAATCGTCTATTATTTAAAGCATCCCGATGGACCAGGAACCATACTCTATAATTAAATTAACTTAAATATGTTTGTCTAGAAAATACTGTTATTGTCAATAAGGCTCTTACCTAATTCTACATAAGTCATCACGCTGTTTGTACCTGATATGAGCTCCTCTAGTATTTCGTCCATGATCTTTTGCATCCCAGGCTTTCCGTGCTGCAACAAATAGTAGATCTCTCTCATCATCACGTCGTGCAATGGCGCCGCCTCCAATGGAGAGAGAACATTCCAATTCGACGTACGCGTCACCTGGCTGCGGCTGCCGCTGTGGTATTGGCGATTTTTCCCGTTCTTTACCAGAGCCTGGCTGAAAATGTTAAAATACTGAAATAAAAGGAGAGAAAAAGCGAGGATCTTCTGTACCTCTCACGACGAAATTATAAGGTGTGTGCTGTGAATCCGTCGAATCCATAAGCATTTATTGCCAAGGCATATATTATGTGTGAAATTAATTATTACCTTTTCTTTTCCAGTTTTTTTGGGTGTGGTGTCGATTTTAGTGAGCTCCTGGGAGTTCCGGACCTCGTCCACTCGTATCCATTGTTGTAAGGTCAAAGGCCAGCCCTTGGGGGCTATGACTCTAAAATAATGTAATCAATATACATTTACGTATTTTTAAAGTGAAACTTATATTACACCGTCTCAAACTTTTTCGTCTGTGTGTTGCATGTCGCGTGACGATCGGCCGCGGAGTAGGGATAAAGTGAAAGGCGCTCGTCATAGCAGCCAAGGCCAATATGGCGGCGCCTATAGTTCGCAGCAGCTGACCGTGTAGTGTATAGACTATTATTTAATATGTGTATATATATAATCCAAATAATTGATATTAATATGTGTATATTATCTAAATAATTGTTAAGTATTATGTATGTCGTACTCTCTAAGACACAGATTTCAGATTGAGATTGATAAAGCGATTTTATACCCTTAATGGAATATTATTCCAAAATTTTTTAGTTAAATGTCTATAATGTGAAAAAAAGTTTCACGTTTACCGTGGTTTCATAAAACCACACAATCCTTTTTTTTATTATTATATTGACCACTAATGCGATGACTTACTCAATTGTGTACTGCCTTGGTTCTACAGTGGACTTGGAGTCTTTAAGCTAGAAAAATTATGAATATCGTTAAAGAAACTTATCGTTACACTAAGTTTTTTTTAAGAAAAAAGAAATTCCAACTCTACGGGCGGTTACAGACTAACGTTTTTTACGCGCGTATAAGCTCGTCTTTGGAGTATGTAGGCACGAATAGGCGCGCCTTTTGGCACGCACGCAACTCGTACGAGCGTTGACGCGCCTCTAAGCTCGTATTAACATGAGCCACTAGAATCACTCCGCAGTTCTGGGTAGAGTATATTAAAGTGACCGGTTTTCTGTCTTGATGCAAACATCTATGATAACTAGTATCTTTTTCATATTCTCAGTCGACGTCCGACGGAGAACATGTAGCAATGTTTCTTAGTCAGAATCCATGTTGATGCTGACGCGACGTCACTACCGGTTCGAGCGAATATGCCAGTTTACGCACATCCGGTTTTTTGAAGTGTGTGTAGCACGCGTGTATGCGCGTATGCTTAAACACATAAGCGCAGAAAAATACGCTAGTCTGAAACCGCCCTACAAAATACTTCTAGAAATTTTTTATTACCTTTAAATACTTTTAAATGTAATAATTAAGTATCATCACCATGAAATATAAAAAAATAACCTTAGTCGATGACCTATTTTTAGGTCCAGCTGATGAGGGTTTCTGTTTAGGTATTCTTGATGAGCGTGGACGATCACCTGAAAATATGGACTTGGAATCAATCTGAAACAAAATTGTCATAAACTTACTTACCAGTTATATAGAATACAAAATTATACATATACTCTGATTTTTCATTCCGTAGAATTCTGACATTTCATAAAATATGTTTGTTATCTCTGACTTGTCAAAAAATGATAGCTGTAAGAATTCTACAAAATTAAAAATCAGAGTATAGTGTTCCATAATATTGTACCGCATTTGAGTTGGACATTGAGCGCTTATGCGCTGGAGACGTCAACAAACTTGGAGGTGTCGGTTGTAGTCGGATGTACGGCCAGTATAGCTCTCCCGTCCCTGAGCACCTGTCAATTTCTTCTATTTCACCATCAGGTCCCTTCATTTTTAGTATTGCCTGCATCTCCAACTAAATATAATTAATATCATGAACAATTATAATATAACGAAGTATCACAAGCAAAGTAAAATAAAAAAATATTTGGATTAAAATGCAAAATGTTTTCTTATCGATGTTGATACTTTATAGTCGTCTTGTTGAGCGAGTGAGTGTGAGTTCTTGGAATGCTATAACTGGGGAGTCTTCATCAGTACCTGGAATGCTAAAACTGTGTATTGTAGTCTTGACTTCACTTACTTCGGGCGAAGTAGCAGCCGCTCTGAAACTAATGGCTTCATGTTTTGACACTGATATTTGAATCCCTCCCAATATATTCCTACGATTCGGTATGAATATCTCATCAACATGCAGTTTGCTTGCAGGTGGAAGAGGAAGATCCTTACAGCTTGTCTCATCATTATCACAAATATGGAAGACATCTGATAAACTGGTTAGTACTGTTAACTGCCAATGAACATCAGAAGATGTTCCAGGTGCTTCAGTAATAGTTCCATGGCCCATGACTGTGTAACTAGAATATCGATTGAAGAATTACAAGTATGCAATAAAATAAAGTTTTTAGGTCTTGGCCTCAGATTTCTGTATTATGATCATATGTCAATCTAATAGACAAGTTGGTGATTAGCCTCCTGTGCCTGACTCACGTCAACATTTTGTGACTAAGGCGAACCGGTTTCTTCACGATGTTTTCCTTCACCGTTCGAGCGAATGTTAAATGCGCACATAGACAGAAAGTCCATTGGTGCACAGCCGGGGATCGAACCTACGACCTCAACGATTGGAGTCACACGCTGAAGCCACTAGGCCAACTCTAGTCTCATAGTATGCATTATCTATAACAATATTGTTAGATAAACTTACCCATGCTCATTTGGACGAAAGTCAAATGTAATATGTGAATTATAAGCCTGAGACATTTGAATTCCTGTGTCGTTATTATACACCGCAAAAGTCCTATATTGCAACGTGCTCTGAACATCAAAGTGAACCTTAACAGGACTATGACAATAGAATACTCCTTGAAAATATGGAATCCATTTGCACTTCGGAGTTACAGGAGAATTGCCACTATGCTGCTGCAAGCCATACACACCGCTGAGGGCAGATGCAACCGAATAAGCATAGCGTGCACCAGGATACATGCCAAAGAACATATTCATCAGCGCTGACAAAGTCTCTAACGTTCCAAAAACATAATCCATCAACTACAAATAAAATCCAAAAATTAAATGTTAATACATTGATTACTATTGATATTAATGTTTGGTAACAAACTAACAAGTTTTGTAATTTCAGGCGGTACAGCAAGTGGTGCTTTTAGACATTTTCTAGCCCAAGCACCACGCCAATGAGCTTGGATGACCCTAGCTGCCTCGTGCTTTCTTATTACTTTTTCCCGTTCTTCTTTTAAAACTCCACAAGGTATTTCTTCAGTTGCAAGTTCACATACATTCGAAGTTATTGGAAATTTTGGTGGGCTTAAAAGCCGGTCCATTGTTTCTTTATCTACTATGGGCCTCTCTTCAGTAGCCTAGAATTAAATTACAATATTGAGACGATCAGAAATATAAAAAAGTGCGTGCGTACAAAGTACACATGTTAGAAGTAAAACTTCTTTGTAAATTAATTATTACTCAGGTAAAAGCCCCAATACATAATCATGTATGTACCAGTATACTCGTATGATCACTCCATGTATTTGTATATCTATATTCACACTGTTTACACACTGTATACGTGCTAATGATTATATAAATAAATAAAAAATCTGCGTTTACTGCACAAGACGTTATGCGACAGAATTGCCATCTAAACTTCTAATATGTTTCTACTAAACGAATACATCAACCAATAGCGTGTAATTATTCTGGATCTTCATTACGCTCTCTCAATCTTTCTCACTATAACTCTCTCACACCTCGCTCCATGGCACTGTGCGTAATGCGACGTTTGCACTTTCTCACTCTCAATTGGTCTCAATCGCTCTCTCCCTTTTCTTCGACAAAAACGCTGCACATCTTCGTGACACTATTATTATTTAGATATTATTGTGTTTAATCTGTAAAAAAATTACCCTCATGCGCCTAAAGAAGTTTCACTTCAATAATATAAGCTTAAATGCTAGTTAATTATTAAAAATTGTATTAATCTATAATAAGAGATAATTACAATCTCCACTTGCTGCTCTTCCTCCAATTGCTCCGTAATTTCTAATTCCTCAGCCTCTGGAAGTACACAATCACATGGGTCCATCATAGCAATATCCCGCAACGATGTTGGTGGCTTTGGTTTTGGTGGTAAACCAAAATCAGGGTCATGGAAAAACGTTCTTAGCGTCGAGCACACGGCTTTGTATTCGTTCGGTAGCAGTTTTCGAATCAAAAGCGCTTGCAATGCCTGACGAAACATCCAATGCAAAAGTCTTTTTTCATAACCAACTATTTTTGGATCCCACACTAAATCTGGCTGATATGAACTGCAAATTATATAGGTATATAAATACTATCGGGTCATACGGTACAACTGTTATGACAATTAGAAACTTACTTGTAAAACTCCTTATCATTATACCCTAAAGTCGCGCTGGACCGCGAAGCTCGTAGCCAATTTGAAAAGGCTAGACTAAGATTATTAAGGAATCTTGACGCCCATGGACACTCACGGACAGCTGCCGATTGAATAACATCTCTAGTGCCCAGTACTAGTGTAGAGTCACTGAGAAACATGGCCGTCCAATTCATCCGAGAATGCACCCAAACTCTTAAAAGCATTACATAAGATACAAGATACAAGTTCTGTATAAACTCTATATATATATTACTAGAAAATAATTATACTTCACAGTCACCATTTGAATATGTCACTTATTTAATTTAACAGGAGGCAAATGTTCACCTGATGTTAAGTGATACTGCTGTCCATTGACACTTACATACATCGCCAGAAGGCTAGCAAGTGCTAGCTAGCTCAATTCTTAAAGGTCCCTAAGTCGAATTGATCCTTGACGTCCGATGATAAACTCAGCTGGTATTAGTCCGAACAACTCCTCTGAACACTTTCCATGGTAAATGTATATTATGTAAACAATAACAAGACATCGAATAAAATGAAAAATATTATCGACAAAGGGCCGTCAAAGAATTTCTGTCGATAAATTCTTATATACCTGCAAAAATGTCGTCCCGGGTCTAGAGTGATTTCAATACAATCGTATCCTCTTGTCGCAATATAAGATTTAGCTTTTGGCAGTTCGCAATCAACAAACCATTCAAAAATTTCCAAAAACAAGTATGCCGGTTCTATGTGATCCATCACAGGTATACCACAGTTGAAAAGAACTCTTGGATGAAGCATTGCCAAGGATATTTTAAGGATGTTTTCGTCAGGTCCATCTATTTGAAGGTAGAGAGGAGCTGACTTTGGAGCGGGGATATCTAGGTTTTTGTTTGGTGGAGCCTTTGTTATTCGCACTGGGGGACTGCTGGCCGCTGTGGTATATTGATACATGGATGGGAAAAATAAAATATTTACGTTTTTAACGTATTCACGTATCTGTAATCATTACATTATATTAAAGCGGGTCTAAAAGACAAGCGGACAAGGTTGCGACCACATTCCGGCCAGGGCGATTGTTGGTGACGATTGGGATTTAGTGGGAATAGCGAGTCCCACACGAGCAGTCGCGCCCCGGAGGGGCCTGTCCCCAAGCCCAAAAAAAGACATAAGTGTTGTCTCAATATTAATGCATTTATAATAGTTATTACTTACCTCTGTGACTTAGGTATTAGATTAAACTCCGGACAGAATCATGTTCCTATTCAGTATACAAGATGAGCTTAATATCTACTAACCTAAAACTTTACGTACGAGCCATTGATATACAAAAACCCAAGATGCACAATCAACGTCTAAAAAACGTCCTCAAAAAATGAGCGCAACATTCTAAATTGTGCGCTCATTTCAAATAGTCTCGCGTCTATAAGTGGAGTCGATGTTATTTATTTGTGTTTTTTAAAAATAAATTTATGTACTCTTGAATTTTTTGTGTGTAGTTTTTGACAAATATATTTACGCTATATAAAGTGTGGGTCAGGAGGTAGCCAATTTAAAAATTTTTTTTAATTTAAAGAAAAAACTTTTTAACCGGATTAATGTTATGTATTATTATAAATTTACAACTATTTAACATCCAACACCTTTTGTCTTCAGTCACCGTGACCACTCACGCTGTAAAGCACCCGAAAAGTCGGATAAATTTAAAATTATGTTAAATAGTTGTAAATAAAAAAGTCATGTTCAACTCCACTCAATACCTTGTCCTACCGACCACGGTCGGTCGTAAAATTTTATTGCTTTAAGTACGTATACACTGCGTTGTAATAACAACTTTAAGCAATTCGCGTAAGGTTGATTTTGCAATAATATATGCTTGTAATATATACTGTTATGGACAGAAATAGTGTTTCAGGACACTTTCGAGCGTTACTTTTATTCGAGACTGTGCATCTTGGGGTTTTTTGTATGTCAATGGTACGAGCACAAAAAGTATGTCCAATTCATTCAGTTACGGATCATTTCAAATAATGATTACATTTTATTATTTCAAATTTCTTTCTCTGTATAAATTACAGAATTGAAATCAATTAGTACTCATAGAATGAGGAATAAAAAATACTACAATAGATTATCAGACAATTCAGGGTTTGAATTCTACTCTATGGTTGACTTACTCCATCAAACTCTATCCACTCCCGAAGCTCTTCTTTCATTTGTTGATTAGAGCTATGTATATTACCTGAACGATTTAGTTCTTTACCTCCCTTTCTAGCCTGCAATTAATGTACAATTATTATCAAACATTTTTGTAAAAAGGAATGGATGGTTCATAGGCCGTCGATGTACCATTGATTTTTCTTCTATATTACACCTACACCTAATTTCGAGCAGCAAGGTCAAGGAAAACATTGACAAGAAACCATATTAGCAACTATGTACACCATTAAAAAAAAATCTAAAGTTATATTAACTACCCTCTTCCGAAATCAAGACCATAGACTGGGTGGAGAGAACTCTCCCATGCCATGCTTCGCACATATTCATATAAAATGTCTTAATATTAATAATGTATGTATGGTACATACCTACCATGTAGTAGTAGTAGTAGTGTACCATTGGCCATTAGCAGGCAAAATGGAGGCACTAATAGTGACAACAAGACACAAACTCGTGTTCAATCAAGGATAAAACTTCTTATGTGACTGGTTAGATTATAAATAATATCTCCACATACACGAGTTCAAACACAATCAGTCATCAATAGAACCCGTACTCGAGCATGACACATGGCCATCGTACCCTACGCATATATTGCAGGGAGAGGGACAACGTTATGCATGGACGCCATTACAAGTAATGACAGAACCAAAAGAGACTAAAGGACCGAGTAAAAGAAACTAGACTAAATACAGCATTATTTCAAAATAAGTGCTTCCGCGATGGTTTCTTCAAAAATATTTCTCTACAATAAGAAAAATACTAACTTACCGGAGGGTTAGTTCTATCGTGGTCCTCTCTAAACTGAAACGTTATCTAAAAAGAAAAACACTTTTCACATTACATGGAGTTAAGAAAAACTTGAAAAAAAATTACATTTCAATACCTATATGACAGAAAAACTAACTAGTGTAAATACCAGCACTTATGTATGTACTTATGTACACGCGTTAGAAGTTATACTTTTTTGGCGTAACAAGATAAAAATATTTTCAAAAATTTGTAGAAAAACGACACTAACAATAGAAAAAAAAAATGTTGACTATAGCTAACTTCTGGGTGTCGGTTTTTGTGACGGTGTGCGCGCGCATCGTAAAAATTTACTCTCATAATTTTTCCCTAACGTGCCAAAAGAAGTATAACTTCAACAACATAGGGAAAAAAATTGGTCAGTTAATAGTTATAGATTCTTGATTATTGGTTATTTTAACTTACAGATTCCGTACTCTGCACGTCGAGTAAATGCGGGGCGTGAGACTGCTTTAGCAAGCCATTAACCCTTAAGAACTTGGTGCGAGGACAGGCGAAGGCTTCATACAAGCCATGGTGACGAGCCCAGTCCACCCATCTATAGGTTTTCCATTGTGGTACCTCTGAAGACAAAAATACTTTTCTTATAATAAATTCCTTTTATCATATTATATACCAATTTGACGTACTATACAGACATCAGATAGAATGAATAATCAAATCATAAGAAACCACACGAAAATTGGAGACGTCACAACGAGGATACGGAGATTGAAATGGAAATGGGCTGGTTACATAATAAGAGGTATAGAAAAGTGGAACAAAAAGATCATATATTGGTACCCAAGAAATAAGAGAAGAAAACGAGGTAGACAGACGAAATAAAAACCGTAACTGGGAAAAGATGGACAAGGAAAGCTCAGAACAGCCGCAGAGATTCTGTAACTCTAGAAATGAGGAGCCTTGGCCAAAGTTAAAAATTTTATCAGATTTGTCTGGTATCAATGTCTCACTAGTGACCCTAGTTTAAGCTATTATAAATTTATAAATAAATAATCAATAAACTACTATCCCTGAGCGATAAACTGTGGCTTATATTTTTATTATACAAATTGGACTTACTATACATTTACCATTTATTTATTTATAAATTTATAAAAGCTTGCCAACGCTCGGCACAATGATACATTGATAAAAGAAAAATAAAATAAAATTTTTAATGTGTCAAGCATTTACAGGCAAACATAGCATATAAGATATAATAAAATTAATTAAACAAAACAATAATATAATTTAAATAAACATTAAACGAAAATCGCTCTTAAAGTGTGAGGTGAGCAACTATGGATATCCAGATCTAGCTCATTTAACAGAATGCTCTTTCTGGACATGAGGGATAAATGGAATGATGGGATGTCTGGGATATCTACCATGTACGTATCCAGGGAGAGAAGGTAATTAAATAGGAGGGTAAACTCCTAATAGTTTTACCCTTTTAATCTGTAGGTTCATTTGTAATAAAATACCTGACAAAATGAATCTTGCCAAATCACGATTATTTGCGAAATGAGACTTAAACTATCTATATATAATATACCATCATTACCTGGCTCTGGTAAAGGTTTCTTCAGAGGAAGATCCCTTGCCATATTTAGAAGCAAAGTCATTTGGTGACCAGGCGTGATTCCAGGTAGAGCGTAGGGAGGTTGGGTCTTTGTGTCCTCCAATAAAATTGTTGTAATTGTATTACGCTGTAAATTTATTATTTTTGTAATTAATTATTAGCATTATGACCTTAAGGAAATTTCCTAGAGGTCATAATGCAATAGATAAGGATTTTTCAGGTTAAAGTTTCATTTCACAAGTTCGGTAAATCAATACAACATAATTTGATAAACTATAACAATCGTTATTTAAATAATATTTGTTTTTATCATAGTTGTTTAAACCTGCTTATTTGACTTTTATTTAACGCGGAAGTACGACTGACAAGGATGTTAAAAAATAAAATAAATCAGTGGCGCTACAACTTTTTTAGGTCTGGGCCTCAGGTTTCTGTTTCTGTTTAATGATCATTTGTTAATTTAAAAGGCGAGTAGGTGATCAGCCTCCTGTGCCTGACGCACGCCCGTCAACTTTTTGGATCTAAGGCAAACCAGTTTAATCACGATGTTTTAATGTTAAGTGAGTTTCGCACGCTGAAACAATTAATCCAAAACTGCTGTGACAATAATAACCATTTGAAAAAACCAGTTGAACAGACACAGAGATCTGTCTGTCCCATGTGTCTATGGGCGACGGCGTACTTATCATCAGGTAAATCTCCTGCTCATTTGCCTCCTGTTAAAAAAAAAGTTACATACAAAAATGTTTCTTCACATACTCCTATTATCATTAAATTCCTAAAACACTTACCCTTACAGAAAAAGGTTCTTTCGTTGTAGGTTTTTTGGTACTCTTTGACTTGATAGTGCTCATCATCGTGTCACTGTCGTCATCCCAAGAGAAAACAGGTACCTCTGACGTTACCAACTCCCACAGATTGTTTGGATCTACTAAATCACCTGAAAATGAGATAATTGCATGGTATAAAACCTGGCAATAAAACCTGGATTAGGAAAGTGCAGCTAGATAACCTATGAAGACTGTGTTGGTTATGTGACATGGATGATGAAAAATATTTCCAGCACAATGTAGTTTAGTAATTGACTGCAGTTTTATAGGCGCGCATACAGCTTTCATCTTTAGCGTTGTTTTTATTTATTTATTTTATTAAAGTTCACCATATCATATATAATTCTATATCTACAGTATATGTTACAAACTATATTCTATTATACATTACAGTTATGGTAAACATAAGAGTTACAAAAAATTTACGAGTAAAAGTAAAAATAATAAAAAAACAGTGAAAAAACAAAAATATATCGAACGAATATAACAAGCTTTTAAACTTGCTTTTAAACCCTGACCTATCAGTTAATGTTAAGAATCAATAAATACGTATTACGCACGAAGTGTATAGCGAACACGAAAAAACGACGTGTATCGGGTATGATCTAATGAGATGTGATTAAAAAAATCGATACAGACATTCCAGTCAGAAGTCAAAAAGTCAAAAATCATTTATTCATATAGGTAACACAATGTATATATGAAATGCTTCTAATAAGTAAGTAAGGTAAGGTAAGATTAGAGTCGAAACTTCCAGAAATGCACATACGGTTGTATCGCCACTGGTGTCATTAATTAATGTAATAAATAGCTGATTCATATCCAAGTCTGGCGTTTTAAAATTTGAGAGGGAAGATTTTATAAATTTTGTAGTCGTTAATCACTCGCTAACTGACGTAACTGACCACAATTTAAAGTTCAAACTATTTCTCGCAGACTTTCAACTTGGTAATTGCGGGGAAAACTCTTTAATAACAGTGTTATTTTGTATGTAAATATACATGCAAATGTTGGATCTTATTCTATCAACATAATATAATTTTAAAAAGTAAAATTTAGACTTTTAAACGACACTTAAATTATATTTGGAAAAAATGTGATTAATTCCGTTTGAATTATTAGGATTTTTAATTCACAAATATTAGCTTATTATTACTTATTAGCTTAATTAAATCTCTTAATATATACCTTACCTATTAATACCTAACCTTTTTTTTAACATTTAGAATTATCTCTATGGTCTACAGGCATTAGGCGACGGCTCTACTAAAAACTACTGTGGCAGTGTCAACGCGGACAGGGGTATGGGTCATGACCCCCCTGACAGGACTTAGTGGACCACTAATTGAAATAATGATTTTATATATAAATTTGTCACCAACAGATTATTGTAACTACATACCTTCAATATTTATTAATTTAATATATTTAATCATACATGATGGCAAACGTTTGGGAATGAACGCATCGAAAATTTGAATTTTCCGCGCCACACTTGCGCGCGCTTGTCGCTATGAAACATAGCGACAGCTAGACCTTACCTCAATCGGAATCGGAACGACTAAACTTCAACATATCATAACATAGTCTTATTTTAAATTGTGACATCAATATGTATACTAATATAGGAAAATTGGATACACTACCCTGTCACCGAAGCGACAGCAGAAAGGTCTTTCTCTACGTTGCGCAGAATTAAATCTAAGATCTTCAATGGTTGAAGATCGCCTAACCGGACTGGCACTTCTCCAGTTCATGAAAACGTACCCGTTGACGTAAATGACGTAATAACGCGTTTCGGAAAAACAGGCTAAAGAAAAATTGATTTAGTTATTAAAATATATGTATTTTGTCTGTTTCTATTTGTCTGGATGTCTTCAAGAGAAGATGGTAATATGTACGTGTATACAGGTTGGTCAACTATTGAGTCAATATTTTTTTAGATTACTCACACCTGGGGTATACTAAAATACCCCATGTATGTTCCGCGATTTTTGTAGTTTTCGAGTTATACATTTTTTGTGTTTTCTGCCAGCGAGGTTTCAAAAATTCATATCTTTTTTTGTTGTAGGTATTTCGCAGTTTTTTTCTGTTAAATGATTGCCTTAAATGATGTTCAAGTAAAAAAATCCAGCTTCTTAAAATTAGTTAAAGTACTCAAAAAAGTTTTTAAAGTTAGAAGTTTATTAAGTGGATTTGACCAAACATTCGACTTCAATTTAAAAATACAAAAAGAAGTTTCCATAGCTTCTAGTAAGTTTAAAAACTCCACAGGGTTCTAATACAAAATATAGAAAAAGAATGGTACTACTACTACTAATTGGTCTTTTTTGTTGTAATCGGTGGATTTTTTTGGTGGATAGGTAAAAATATTGAAGCTTAAAAATGTTTTTTTCGACTTATTATTCATGGTAAATTAAACTAATAATGTGGTTTTTAATTAATTTTAATACCCGTAAAATAAATGTACTGTAATCGGCCTTTTCTGTCAATAGGCAAAAAATCATTGAAGCATTAAAACTGTTTTTTTTACTTTTATTTTTCTTATGGCAAAACTTTATGATATATTTTTTACTAATTTAATACCCGTAAAAAAAGTAGCTCGTGTAATTCTTTACAATAATTTTGGTCTTACACTCAAAATTCAAAATGTTATTCGAAATGATTATTGCTAGTTGTGAAATTACCTGTTTTTAAATAACAAATAAAAAACACAATTTACTGAAAAAATACTATTTCTAATATATAAAATTCTCGTGTCGCGGTGTTTCGACACTCGAACTTCGTTCGAACTTCTCCGAAACGGCTTGACCGATTCTCATGAAATTTTGTGTGCATATTGGGTATGTCTGAGAATCGGACAAATCTATTTTTCATCCCCTTAATGTTAAGGGTAGTCCACGCCTAAATTATTACTTTTTAATTTTTAGATAAAGTTTTTTTTTCATGATACAACTTTAAAAATACATACAACCCCAATTTTCACCCCTCTACGATCAACCCCTATTTTTATTATAATGGCAAAACGACGTTTGCCGGATCATATTAATTTTCTATGATTTTGGTAGCTTAGAACCCTCGGAGTTTCTAAAAGAGAAGTATGGAAACTTCTTATTTAAATTGAAGTCAAATGTTTGAACAAACAGTAAAATCTAAACTTCTAACTTTAAAACTTTTTTGAGTAGCTTTAACTAATTTTAGGAAGCTGAGATTTTGAAAAATTATTGATGTCACTATTGGACCAACTATTACACAAATTATGTGTTAAGTTTTTCAAGTGTACAAAAAGAATAAATATTGATAAGTGCAATACTTACGTACATTAATAAAATACCTACTTACTTGTATCTATACAAATTAAATTATAAGTTCTGACTTGACCACAACTATTGACCCCCTCCTGCAAAAGCTGGATCCGCCCTTGGGCAGTGTACACCTTTAACGCTGGCAGCATTTCCTCGCTGTATAGCGATACTTATTCGTTGAGCGAGAAAAGCACCACCTCTGGGGTCATCGGTACTATCTACCAGGCGCCAACATAAATCTTTAATTAGCGCCTGTGCACTTAAACCCCACGGCCCAAAAGTCTCTACTCCAAAGTTAATATAACTACTGTTATATATTACATCTATTATTTTTAATACTTATTTTCCTACGGAGGTTAAAGCTTAATAATAAAAGTAAAATTAAACGTCAGGGAAACTTACCCGTGATCCTATAAGTCAGGTTCATTGCGCCAGTTAGAGCGTGTAATATATCAAACTCTGGCATCGATTCATCTTCAAAGTCTGCACCCTCGTCCGAATTCATGTCGGGAGCAGCCAACTTAAGCAGCGCCTGGGCAATTTTGATTAGCAATTATGCATTTACGCGTCTTGCATTTTTAATCAGGAATAAATAAAAAAAATACAATAATTTGGTTGTAGCATTATTTTCGAAGTACATTTCTAATAAAGCGAAAGCCTCTCTTGCTATATAATGGATATAACGATCTGTGATTGAGATTTCTCTCAAAGTGGATAATGTTGACTGTGGTAGACTTGAACAAAGATAAAACAATACGGACCATCGTTGTCTTTGGTTTTACGTACTCTTCTCCTATAGTCATTGTTTATTGTGACTTCACCTGCAGTAAAACGTTGTAAATCTAGTCCAGAAATGCACTGATACTATGGATTTGTCGAATCCTTCAAATTATTTTATTATAGTAAATGTTATAAATAAAAACTTAAGGGAAATTAAAAAAATAAAATTTTATTGGATATCAAATTTCTAAAACTAAATTATGATCTTAATGTGGTATCGCATTACTCAATAACATTAAGAGTTTATGATATATATGAATTTGGTAATAGCGGAATATCTAATATCTTGTCATTTAAATCAACTTTCTAAATTTTTTAATTAAAAAATTATACGTAAAAGTACTAATTTATTCGTATACTAGACTAATTCATTCCAGGTAAAACGAAACTAAAATGCGTGGATTATAAGATTTTAGAATATTGACAAATTACAGACAACATAGGTATCTTCTTAACTTTTTGAGCACTTCTCTTCTGCCTCGTTATTAGCTAGTTATATATTATATTAATTATGCCATATCCTAATCATTATTAGCCACTTTATTTGGTCCATTTCTGGACGTAGGCCTCCTCTATTTTCCTCCCGTACGCCATGATCCGGCCTCTTTGTATCCACTGGGAGCCAACCTTCTTAACAATGTTGTCAGTCTACCTATTCAGGCGGCCGGAATTCCATTCAAGGAGCCTGCGGGTCCATTGCTTCTTGACCATGCGCTATTGCCTGCCCACCGCCACTTAAATGTTGCGACAGCCCTTACTACGTCGCTCACGCCGGTCTTTCCACGTATGGCGAGTCTATAAATGCTCAGCCGTAATTTGAACGGATGATGTCAGAGTTAAAAGTCGCACGCGCATGCCACTAGGCCAACACTAGGTCAATGTGTGTATGTGAGAAAGACCGTTTAGTGAATAGGAAAAATTAGGAAATCCGATGCGATATCAAATTATTGTCACTCTTACATATATTATAATCTTTTACATAACTATATGTTAATAATATATACCTTACAAATAAGCAGCGGCCATAATTGAACCATTGGTGCTGTAATTGCAGGCGCTGTCATCTTGGCCCCTGGTCTCGCGGGCGAGTGACAAAAAATAGGAGAGAACGGAAGTAGGGGAGACTCTGTTGCGTCTATGGGCACCAGGTCACTGACCCACACGCAACGCCAGGCTCCCAAATAGTACAGGCGAACGAGATAACAGCCTAAAATGTTTTAATTTAATTATTATATAAAATTTATGCACTAAAAATAGCAATTCAATTATAACACAGCGATGATATCTACAATCTTTTTAGGCCTGAGCCTCAGATTTTATGTATCTTTTTCATGATCATTTGTCAAACTTATAGGTAAGTAGTTGATCAGCCTCCTGTGCGTACGCCGTCGACTTTCTGGGTCTCAGGCAAGCCGGTTTCCTCTCGATGTTTTACATCACCGTTCGAGCGAATGTTAAATGCGCACATAGAAAGAAAGTCCATTGGTGCACAGCCGGGAATAGAACCTATGACCTCAGATATGAGAGTCGCACGCTGAAGCCTCTACACCAACACTGCTCAAATTTTTAAATACATTGAGATAACCTAAATGGGCATTAGAGTTATTGTAACCTATCGTTATTTATAGCAGGTGACTAGGCACAATAGAAGTATAGATAACTATATATATATATATATATAATTTTTAGACTAATACTTTAATATGTTTCACGTTTAGAAAGATTTATTATTAAAATATTAGTAGGAAATATATAATAAGCTTATATTTGGTTCGGTAATAAATACTGCCACATACAACAATATAAAAATTTGCTCATCTTAAAGACTAGACGAACGTACAAAAAAAGGATATAATGTAATATCATATATATGTCGGAGCAATGGCGCTGGTATCAGCTGTCAATGTCATTATATGTAACAAGAGCTCGTAAATTAACAACTTCAAAGCCTTATCAGTTTATAACCGTTAATATTTATAGTTTATTCGATTCGCCAATATTACTCGATCACCAAATTAACAGACTATTTGATAGTCTGTAGTAATAGTAATTTCAGTCATTATTAATCATGTCAGAGCAATGGCTTTAGTGTCAGCTGCCATTGTCATTATAATGCCAGAGGGCCGTTGGCGTTGCCGGCCTTTTAAGAATTGGTACGCTCATTTCTTGGAGGACCCTAAGTCGAATTAATTTGGAAATACTTCAGTGGGCAGCTGGTTCGACGGGGTGGTGGTTCGTGGCAATAACTGCCATGAAAACGCTCAGTTGTGGACGTCGAGGTGATACGGGTGCAATTTATTATTCTGCCTCGACGTCCGTTGATAAAACTCAGCTGCATATATTAATCCGTACAACAAAGTATAAAAATTTAGTAGACAGTAATTTATAAGACTTTGACGTTGTCAGTTTACGAGCTCTGTGACACATAATGACATTGACAGCTGATACTAGCGCCATTGCTCCGACATATATAATTGAAATTTATAAATAGTTTTGATAGATCCAGACGTAAAAATTTCGGAGAATAATCTGCACCCTTCAATAGCGATATTGATTGATATCACGACTTAACGCAGTATACTGCGCGATCCGTAGGTTGCGACGAAAGCGCTACCGAAGTCTCTTGTTTAGATTGTCTTTGGTTACAGAGTACCAACGCTGTCTTGTTTGATAGGATGTATTGTGTTGTAAACAAGGTTCGTCCGAGATGGTATTATCTAGCACGGGGTCTCACCTCGCACCTGTGTAATCGATATGATTGCGAACTCATACGGCCAATGAAGGCTATTCTGACATTGCATTATAAGAAACATGTTACTCGCGCCTTTGTTTGGAAATGTTCACACCACGGGAATTAAGCACCATCCTAGTTTGCGTAGGTATATTTACTTTGACAAAAGAGAGGAGGCAAAACAGAAATCTGGGAAGATTAAAGAGATAGCGGGGAACGATTGAAAATAGCAAAGATGAGAGACAAATGGAAGAATTTGGAGGCCTGCTCTCTGTCGGAGGTCGTGTACTACTATCAAATGTTATACATACAGGTTATTTTTACTTTATAATTTTTTATTATATTTACTTTGATATTACGCAGATGAAATACCTAGCTGAACGTAAATAGTGATTAATGGAACTAAATATTTTCGCGTATATAACATGATTTTTGTAAATAAGCCACGCTTTGAACATTAAATTCTAATTTGTTTTATTTGCCATATTAACTTTTTTAAAAGGGAGATTTTTATGTATGCCTACATAACGATTTAGGCTCTTAACTCTTATTTGAGCATACGACCAAGCAGGCTCCAGAAGATAAACCACTCCTTATATGGAAATTGTATTCGTTTTTACAACAAACTCCAAAGCGAAATTAGAGAATTATCACTAAATAAATTCAAAGCCCTCGTTAAACGTAAATTAATCAATAATGATTTTTATAAATTTGACGAATATTTAAATGATCGTAATCCTTGGGATTGATTTGCTCCAGTTCAAACAATTTGTATAACTCAAAACTTAGCGATCAAAAAGAGTGGCGGAAAGTTTCTTGCCAGTTCTTCTTGCCCGCTTTAAGTCTTTGACTTGCGAACTAGTAGTAAATGTAAGTTTACAATTAATTTAACTCTTTTTCTGACGTTCATAAGTGTACTTGTTTACCTATATGAATAAAGTTATTTTGAGTTTGAGTTTGAGTAACACTTCATGGGGTTAAATCACGCCTGCGCATTAATTGATTTCTCTTTCTATATGCTAATTAACATTTACACTAATAGTAATAATAAATTGACGATATGTGTCAGGCACAGGAGGCTGATCAGCCATGAAAGTGATCTAAAAACAAGACGTAATCTGAGGTTCAGACTACGTCGTACTACGGTATTGTTATTATGCATCCATTATAAATCTAACATTTTTAAGATAACTAGATTTCCTTAAGTGATAATTTCTAGACACTTGTATATTTCCGCATTAGTCCCTGAGAATTTTCAACAATACACATTATCTAACATGCTCATAATAAACAATACATGCCACTTTCAAATCTAGTTTCGGAATCTAAGTTAAAAAAGCGCCAAGTATTATCTTAGTATTGCTTAATTAAGGTTCACAACTTATATTTTTTAAACTATCAATGGATTTGTACAGAACCACTCAAAATATTACCTGTACAAAAAACAATATTAAAATGTTTATTAAGTATAAATATATCATTCTCGTGTCACAATGTTCGTTCCCATACTCCTCCGAAACAGCTCCGATTCCTATGAATTTTTTTATGCATATTCGGTAAGTCTGAGAATCGGCTACTATCGATTTTTCAAACCCCTAAGTGATAAGGGGTGTCCAACCCAAAAATTTATTTTTTTATTTTTTGATAATATGTATTTTTTTATTTTTATATTATGTGGAAAATAAAAAATATTGACTACCCAAAAATTTTTTTTTGTATAGTAGATAGTTATTTTTATTGAACTAAAACAATGTTACCTAGAAATAATATACATAGCAAAACAACGTTTGCCGGGTCAGCTAGTTAGTATAAAAATAACGATAAAAAATATTGATACAAATTATGTTTCAGTGGCGTCGGCAGGTTTAAATGACCTTAGGGTTGAGATTCACAATCGTTAATACTTTTTTTTTTTTTTAACGTCAGGAAATGCTTTTACGCATATCCCTGCTGAATTTTACTCCAGCAGGGATTATGTGGGACTCAGACATAATATCTACAACCCTACCCACTAAAACCTGACGGATGCCTTCAGCTCGCCAAAGGGCGGAGGCAGGTAACAGCTGAGCCCTATCCTTACCCCCGCCAAACGCGAATGCCACAATACCAACATGACTCCTCCCACGAATAAATCTTCAGCATCTTAACTTAGGGCAGACGTGCGAAAGCACGGCGTCGCTGCCCCGGTCGTCGTTTTCTTACCGGCGGAGCATCAGAATTATTTTCACGCTGACGCTCCGCATTCTCTTTCTGAGTCATGACGGCCTCACAAAAAGCCTTGAAGGCATTCCAAGGACCGTCATTGTCAGCTTCCACCATTCTTTGGATAATAAGTGGAAGCGACAGATTGCCAACAATGCTATCAGCAAGGACCGAGCGAAAGCCGTCCCAAGCCGGACACTCCTCAACAGTGTGCCTCACCGTATCCTCTATACAGTCACAATGATGACAAGCAGGTGTCGCCTCTCTTCCAATGATTCGATGCAGGTAACTCCCAAAGCATCCATGCCCAGAGAGAACCTGAACGAGCCGATAGAAAAGCGATCCCCACCGTCGGTCCACCCAGTGTTTCAAAAAGGGACGAATAAGATCAACGGTTTGTAAACCGAACCGACATTCACTTAACTCATCCCTCCATTCTAGCAAAATTAGGCGGCGATACTCCTCCTTCCAGACCTTGACTACCTGCAGAGGTGGGTCAAAACCACCACTCCTGGCTTCAGCTCTTCTCCAAAAAATTTCACCCAAAGCCAAAGCTTCCAAATGCCAAGGCGGAGTGGCGGCTATGACACATGCCGCGTCACAGGATACGGTACGGTAAGCCCAGCAATTCTTATGGCAACTTTACACTGTGACCGTCTCAGTAAAGCCTTGTTGTAAAATGACAACTTATCCGCCCATATCGGACACCCATATCGTTAATACTGCCTTAATACGTTTACAAAAGAAGATTTTTACCATTTTTCGACAACCCTGGCCTATGTTGTGCTCCACCTCCTGGTTTAAGGCCTGGCGAATAGATGTGATATCGAGCCCTCCAGCCTTCCGGTGGAAGGCTAAATGCGAAGTTTTCCCATTGATGTTCCACCTGACATTAAGGTTTATTTAACTTGATTTTTAACTATAAGATACATTTGGAGAACGTAATCTTTTAAGGTTGCAACTAATTTTGAAAAGTCATTCACGGGTAGAAAGCTGCAATAATGAGTGTTAAATTAAAGAAATAAAATGAGATTGAGTGAGAGTTTCGGAGTCGACACTAAGCGTAGCTTCCATATTTTAAGATCTAAAAAATGTTTGACATACACGTGTGTCGACTCTAGAACCTTACTGCGTAAGTGGAAGATATTTCATTTACGTTTATTATACAGTAAACAGTTTTTGGTGGCGATGACTCTCAAGAAAAATAGTAATTTAAATATATACTCACAGTAATATTATCAACGCGTTCGAGAATGAAACACATAGAGAGCACAGATCTGCAGAAAGAGGATCTCAGTATAACTTGGGCGTGACTCAATTGCATATCGATGATATTCATTTTCGCGATGTCACTGGCATCCTAAGAGGGTAGTCAAAGAAACATATAAATTAGGTATACTTATTCTCTCTAGCACTATGCGTTGTGTCGTCTATTGTATTTGGAGCGATTCTACTATGCGCAGGTTATGTTAAATTTGTACTTTGTTTTTGCAAATCCATGATATTTTTGCAATGTCACGGGCGTCGAAAGAGTGTAGTCAAAAAAAAAACGTATTTTTTTTTCTTTATGGCGCAGGCTATAGTCTCTCGACCATACCACCTAGTCTTTCGTAGAATTTTTCCTTTACTTATACATATATTAAGTTCATTTGTCTTTCGTAAAACGGTAAAAAAATTAACAAGTAAATTTCAATTTCTTTTTAAATCCATGTTTTAAGTTATGTCAAGTGGTGTCAGATGTATTATCACTTGTTTTGTCAGTGGTCGAATCCGTGCAAATATCATAGTACATATAAAGACCAGCCCTGCTATTCTGTAACTCACTTTTTGAACTCACACAGCGGTTTTCGCATCGGCGGTCGCTCTGAAATCAGTCGTAAAGCAGTCATTTTATGATTTGGAATTCTGATAAACAATAAACTACAAGCTCCTTTTTCAGAATGCCAAATCATAAAATGACTGCTTCACGACTGATTTGAGAGCGACCGCCGATGCGAAAACCGCTGTGCGAGTTCGAAAAGTGAGTTACAGAATCGCAGGGCTGAATTATAACCTTAATTGATACGTATTATGCTAACGTCATTCAGGTTAACAAGAGTGTCAGATGCGACACAGGAGTGTGCACAGATTACCTATGTTAAATTTCTAATTTGTTGTTGTATATCTATGATAGGTTTATTCAATATAGTACCCGTATGATTTGATTAGATAATTGTATACTCAGGCACAGATGACTGATAACTTTTTTAATATAAAGAAACCTAGAGATGTCGAACCATCTGTCAATCCTTTATATTAAAGGTACGAGATTATTTATTTGTTTTAAAACATTTAAAGAAGTGATTTCGCCGCAGCGTTTCAACTTGAATATTTAACTTTTTGAACATTATATTTATGTTATATATATTACTAGCATCAATTCATTATGATAATTACCTACATAATTATCTACTTTTAAACTAAAAATATTGCTAAAAATTATTAGTATTTAATTTTCCTTGTATTGATTACCTCAAACACAGCTACTTCCGCCTCCCATCTGCTAAATGCCAAATCCTCAGCTCTGATCCATCCATGCAGGAACTGTCGCACAGAGCGAGGCAACGGCTGTGTCTGGTCATCCCCCCAGGACAGATCAGCATGAGATTTACTTACTGGGATCTTACTCATCACATGACTCGCTCGAAGTGCTGCTGGACCCTTTAGCAAAATAGTTTTTTTTTCTAAGTACACTTTAACATCTAAGGAAACTTAAATATAGGTAAAAATATAGATATATTTTTTAGTAATATAATGACATAGACTATTATAATTATATATAGACTAAAATTTTTTTATTTTTATTTTATTTTATTTCTTTTAGACTTTTTCTCAGAAATATGTATCTTTAAATGAGAAAAATAACAGTGGTTACATGTAATTGTGATAATTCATTATTAGAAAAAAAATATCATCTATATACTCTGCTTTACACCTATATATAGGCATATACGAGTATCTGTTCAAATACTACTTAAATTATTATATTATGAACTATTTTTATTTAAAGAAAACCATTTAATCCTGCTTTAAGTAATTTGTTTTTAAACTATGCAAATTACATCAAAATAAATTAATTTATCTTGATAAGGAAAGGAAATGAAAATATATCAAAAAATACCATTCCCCAAGAATCAATGGTTAATTCACTATCTCGGAACTCCCTGAAGGGGCATTCTGTGGGGTCCACCGTGTATGCTATCAGCTGTCTTATTTCACTCTTTTTAGACATTTTTTATTAATTGTATTTATATAACTTAGAGGGAAATTTGGCAGATTTAATGCCACGCGTGTTTGACGGTTATTTTAATTGCTTTTTAATTTTGGGAATTCGAGTTTTATGGAGGTTTTATAGGTTTTTAAGATTAAGGCATATAGTCTTTACCGACTTCGCTGACTGGACCTTTATTTTTTTAAATAAATATTGCCAATGTTATTAAGTTATGTGCGTATTTAATACTCGCCCCTACAGTAAAGGAAGCGAGGAAACCGCCATGCCTTAGACCCAAAAAGTCGACGGTGTGTCTCAGGCACAGATGGTTGATCACCTACTTGCCTATTAGAAATTAATAGAAATTACTGTACAGATACCGACATCTGAGGCCCAGACCTAAAAGGTTGTAGCGCCATTGGTATTAATATTATCTTAATTAGTTATTTGAATGGCAAATGCGTATCTAAAGGGTTTGTGGACGGCTGCACTGTTTTAGGGGTTGAGCCCTAAGGTAGCGTACCTTTCTAGGCTCAGGATGTAGGCTCAGCCCCATTCTCCCCGCGACTAGTTCGAAATCTGTAGCGAAGCCCACGATAATGTAAGTGCGTGCTCCTATTTCACCATGCCGCCGCTGATAGAGGACAAATCTTTGCTTTTAATTTATTTCATTATTATTTATTACTTAAGATGTCATGTGGAAGATGGTGTAATGGTTGCAGCTCCTTACAAACGTGGTGTAAAACAAAAAACTTGGCGTTAAAAAGAGTGGCGGGGAGTTTATTGCCAGTTCTTATCTTCCGTTCTACGCCCTTGTTTTGAGAACTGGCAGTAAATGTAAAATTAAAATCATTTAATGTATATTTCTTTTCTGACGTTCATAAGTGTACATTGTGTTACCAATATGAATAAATGATTTTTGACTTTGACTTTGAAAATGCGCTAAAGGCCTGCGTTAGCGCATTTTCAGGTCAATCAAAGAAAACTACTTAGATACCTCAACGTTTCCAGTGCTATTCAGCTATCGAGTATGTAGAAGCCTCTATACAAGCCTCTTAAAGATTAATTTATGAATTTATTGATTTACATGTGAAGACAGATATAATAATACTTAAGACTAACTTACAAACAACTGAATTATCTCAGTTTCCCAAATCTTACTCATTTATATCCTCCTAGTACTGATGCATCGAGGAAACGATTAAGCTTCGAAACCATTAGTGGAATTGGTGACTCACCACATCCACACTGAAGTATATTTTGTCACCAACTTGTGGTTCTTTCGCGTAAATTAAAGATGATTTGTATGAAGAGTAAAGGAGTTTACATTCTGCCTGCCTGCACATTCACTAAACCAAATTCAGTACAAGTTTCTAAGTAATTATCAATTCGTAACAAATATAAAAGACCTTCCAACTTGCCTTATTGTATTAAAAACTAGCCACATTAGTGTCAAACGGATATGTAACAACATTTAGAGGACAGGAAGCAATCTTGTTTGCCGTGAAAGCCTTAATTAGCTATGAATTCTTGTTACGTTTCTATCAATGTAAACTGTAACTGGTTGGTGTTCGTACATATTTTATACTAGGAAACAATCTCCTTTCTTCATCTAGATTTTTGGTTAATACGGGTTTATATCCTTCTACCTTCTTACTTGAAAAAACACCTTAAAAAATGATTCCGGAAGATAAAAGTAATCACATTCCTTTCTATATCTCCAAAATAGTACTGATTTTGAAAAAAAAGTCATTTAGATAGATGTAATCGACTCGAAGGACCAACATGTACGGTTCCTGGATCATCGGGTTGATTTAAATAAAATTCCCCCCCTTACAACGATAGAATATAAGAGAAATAATGTTGATTGCTATCTAATGAATGAATGCAATGTAACAGTCTGGCTATACTCGGGGGGCGTAACTCCAACTTTAGGAAATCGCCACGCTTAAAAACCAAGACAGCCTGATTAAGCAAAATGAACAGCATTGGCTCTTACAATGTGGATTTAGAAATCTAAACATAATATAACAATATGTACGACCCTGCTTTGGTTTCTTGAATCGTTGTTGATTTTCAGTAAGCAGGAGATTTTAACCCACTGTGCCGTAGTTTGATAGTGACGCTGCCACTTTAGAGCTTCCAGACAAGCTCGGTTTTATGCAGTTATCCTCCCTAGTGAGTGGATTCTATTTTAAGGCACTGAATACCCGCCTTTTCCCTGCATCCTTGGCTTAGCTGCAGTTCTCGGTAGTGGGCACGTCAGACGGTGGCTGCAGCAGGTCCCAAGGTGGACGACTAGGTCTACCCTACACTAGTGTTCCACTATATAACACAGCAGACGATTAGTTGTTTTTATTAGTCAGTGCTGACTTCACTCTATCAGATTCTGACCAACACTAGCCCAACTTCCCACCCCGAACTCTACCATATGTGATGGAGACTCACTATGGACATCTATTTATAGGAAATTAAGTAAGGTACGAGCCGGGGTAATACTTATATGTATTTCTATACAGATTTCTGAACTACATTTAAGCATTATTTCATTTACTTCATATAGCATTATTGTTCTATTTTATACCCATTATTGGTCCATATTTAAACCGGTGCATGGTGAAGGGTAGGCGTAATAACGGCATTCATCTAAGTTGAAGATTTTATGAAAATCCAAAATACATTAAAAGTTAACTAAACAAACGACTTACACAGATGCCTAGGAAACATCGCTCAAAATATTTGATAAGATTGAATTATACTAAAAAAATATATTAATAAAAATTATAAGCCCTACTTAAAGCCTTAAAGTTTAAACTATTCGGGATAAAAATTATTTAGATTAACTATTTTTGTAACAAATATGTAGCATAACTAGCGACCTTCTATCTAATCTATTACCTCTAATCTCATAAAAACCTTAAAATTAACGTATCAATTAAGATGTAAAATAATTTTTTCAAAGTTACATGCAACCAGTATTAAGGTCAGTTGCAAAATTTACCAAGTCGAGTGAAAGTAGTTTAGTATGACCAGACTCGTTGAGCCATGCCTCCGCCTCCGCTGTAGTTTTAATGGACTGTGAAGGGGATACTGAAGCAAAGTGACAGATCTTGGTAAACTGGTCCTGTGGCTGGCGAGGTAACTTGGCAGTTATTGATACAATTGTTAGATAAAGGGATTATGTGGTTTTAAAGATAAATTGATTACCGTTTAATTCACACATTTACCTTTATGTTTGGCATCCACGCCATTATTAATAAATTGCAATCTCATTGTGCCTGTCCTTCCCCCCCATAAACCCCCAACCCCACCTATCACAAACCAACAATCCCCCCCCCCGCCTCCCCCCCCCCCCAAATGGGAAATTTTATTTTTTTTTTTTTTACTCAATTTTTCCCTTCATTTTTTTTTTTTTAAATAGTTTATTGAACATTAACAGATGTCGTTGCATTAACATTATAAAATTGAACATAGTCATCTACCTTCCACATATTTTCCTCCCCCGTTTCTTTTAATTTTTTTTTTTTTATTAATAACAAAATACAAAGGAACGGCCCACTAGTTTATTAATAATAACTAGATGGCATATGTTGCTTTTTAAATTGAACATAATTAAATGAAAAGGAGGGCAACTAGTGGCCTTATAGCTTTAGAGCGATCTCTTCCAGGCAACCATTGTAAAAAAATATTATTAGTTAGATAAGGTAAGCAAGAAGTGCAAATACATATAGTTATCAAGACAAAACTAAACAGGAACAAAAAAACTAAACTTAAAAAGGATACATGGAAAATAAAAAGTGCACATGAATCACGATGATTTTAATCTAATTGAAAAAAGAGAGCAAAAAAACAACTAACCTTAAAATATAATAACTAAAATACATTACTAGAAGGAGGCCCTTTAGGCAAAATTCCGAAGAGCTAGCAGTAACCTGGGACAAAGATTTAGTCTAAGTTTTTTTGTTATCTAATTGAAATAATATATGTATTTTAAACTTATAATAACTTCGGATATGAACGCATAAGCATATTTTTTTAACATAAAATTGTATAATTAAATGAATTACTTTTTATGTTATTGTTATTTCAATTTGTTGTTTCATTATGATTATGACATGACATTGACATTTTGCCCCTCCTTTCAGAAGAAAGCGTTTTGCCCAAATTCACCGATTGGAGATTGAGCATTCTGATAAACGAGCTGGATATCAATAGTTGCTACCCTCACACTTTGAAATCGATTTTTCTATTGTTCTTATGATTCTTTTTTTCTTATGTCTTCGTGTATGTTATGTTTGTCTATAAGTTATTGCTTGTCACAATAAATAAGTTTCCTGGGGACTGCGAAGGCTACACGTAGTGGCCTCACTGCTCTGACTTCTCTTTGGGAAGCGACAACCACGCATTCCAGGACTACGTGTGAACTTATTTCTCTGCGCTGAAACAGACTCAGCACAAGGGACTGTTTGTCGCACCAAAGACAAATAAAGATGAACTTGATGTTTATTTCGGAGACAGTCGCACGTAATTATCATTATTTTGTGATTAAATCTATTTAGCTGTTTAAGCTTCAACGCTGAGATGAGTACGTGAAGGTTCATGTCTTGTTCTCTTGATGCTGCATCGTAGTCTGAGAGTACTGGAAGAATAATCTTATACGAATAGACTATAATACCTCTTGCGTATGTATGTCTATTGAGTTATATTGTGTGTTAGGAGGCTCGGGCCATTCTGAGACGCAAAATTTAAAGCAACATTCAATACAACTTGAGTAAAACATAAAGCACATATTACGGAACGAACGTAAATGTCAATTAAAACTAGTTATAAGGTATGTCGGGAATTTTGCTACCATTTTCGGTTTATACTTTCACTACGTTTTGTAACAGTGTAATGACATTTAATGAAAGTAATTTTCGCAAAATCTTGTAATACAATAATGATAGTTTTTTAACATTATTTAGGAACAGCTTATGGTTTGGGCAGGGGATAAGTTTTAAAAATTTTCTGTTGATGACCTG